CTAGAAATTGATCGAGAGCTTTAGTAATTTCGCCATGAGTCGAGGGTCTGGAGCTGGATACGATCGCCACATCACCATCTTCTCACCTGAAGGACGCCTCTTCCAAGTTGGTAAGGCCTAGGGTTTTCGACTCGATCCCCAATCTCACGACAACAGTCTCGATTTCTAGAAATTGATCGAGAGCTTTAGTAATTTCGCCATGAGTCGAGGGTCTGGAGCTGGATACGATCGCCACATCACCATCTTCTCACCTGAAGGACGCCTCTTCCAAGTTGGTAAGGCCTAGGGTTTTCGACTCGATCCCCAATCTCACGACAACAGTCTCGATTTCAATCGATCTGCTAGATTCTAGGCTTTTCAGTTTGTAACGGAGCTCTTGATCTAAATTTGGGACAGAGTACGCTTTCAAAGCTGTCAAGGCCGCTGGGATCACCTCAATTGGGGTCAGAGGGAAGGATTCAGTGTGCGTTGTCACCCAGAAGAAAGTCCCGGTGAGTGATTTAATGGTTTTTTATTGGTTGATTATTGTAGGAGAACTTGTTGATGTTCAATTTGTTGAAAATTTTGGGAACTTTTTGATGTAGGATAAGCTATTGGATCAGACGAGCGTGACACATCTTTTCCCAATTACTAAGTATCTTGGGTTGTTGGCGACTGGGATGACAGGTTAATTTCAAATTTTGGGTTTCCTCACTTTGGAAACAAATTTAGCTTTCCATGATAGTTTAGAATACTGGAGATTTTAGTTAGTTATGCTTTGGAAAGCAGATCCTAGATGGTTCCTACATTTCTGTGGGTGTTTGATTAATTGTGCATAATAGATGTTTTACTCTGCACAATGTGGTAGACAACATCAATTGAAGTTATAATAGGAGAAAACTGCAGATTCATTAACTTTTGGGCCCCTGAAGTAGAGCAGTTTGTGCTTTGTTTCTGGACACTCTTGTTTTAGACTTACTTCGATGCTAAGCATCTTTGTTGTTTAAGTTAACGAGAAGCATTTTATTTTGTTAAATTTCTTTGTTATCACTATGTGCATACGCATTAAATTCGGAACATGAACATGCTTCAGGCAAGCAAAGCACATTTCAGCTAAGTTGATTATCATTTCAAATGATTCACATCATTCATTTATCGAAATTTCTTTTGCTGATTTGTTGATTCATATCTTTTTTTGGGTTTAAACAGTCCTTTTTTCTCAATTAAATAGCAAAGTTCCAAATCAAAAAGACCGAACCAAACCTGCCGACTTAATTTTGATCGGTTCTGTTTAGTTTTGAATTTAGAACGGTTCAGTTCACTTTTGCCAAAATTTGTTGAAACCAATGGGATGTGCTGTATGCTTACCCCTTTTGTAGAGGTATTTTGGAATGATCTGAGCAATTATGGAATAACGGAAAATACCATTTTAGATGACCTGGTAGAAGCATTGTATTTCTTGTCAATTATTCAGTGCAGTAATGGCAGTGTTCACATGGTTTATTTGGTTGTTCATTTGAGGTAAATCAAAAAGATATTGAGAGGGTATCAGAAGGCATTAAGTGTTAAGATTGTTTCTTAAAAAAAATCCTGGAAGGCTTCAAAGAATTTATGACTGTTACATAAAGAATAACTATCTATGATTTTGGGCACTAGTATCGTATCAAATGGATAATTTCTATGTAATAGATCTTGGGAGACAAGCAACACACAATCAAGTGTCAGTAGTTTTTGCCTACGGTTTAGGTTGGCCTTGTGAGTCAAGTGCTTCATACAAAACATGTTCGTCAGTTAGCATATAAGTTTATTACTAATCTAATGTTTTTCTCACCTTCTGTTTACTTCATCTCTAGAACTGTCTTTCTTCTGTTCTAGATCTTAAATTCGTGGTGGAAATCATCTTTGTTAGGTATTGATTAGGAGATCTTGCACAATAATTCTCATAAGCTTTCAAAAGGTTATTACTACTATATTATATATAACTCTCATTGTCCTTTTCAGAAAATGATAAATTTTCAAAACAAACTCTTTTGCAAATTTATTCCCAAAAAACAACCCATTTCTCTCTTATTTGTAAAAACCGACTTGGTTTCAGCCTCAGCGCTGAAACCAGGTTGGTTTTTACAAAAAAAGTTCCGAAACTTCACGGGAGTTGAACTCCCGTTGAACTCCCGTGAAGTGTAGCAGCTTTTAATTAAGCTGCTAAACTTCACGGGAGTTCAACTCCCGTGAAGTTTCACAGTTCAAAAAATTTGTTTTTGAACTAAGAAACTTCACGTGAGTTCAACTCCTGTGAAGTTTCAGAACTTTTTTTGTAAAAACCGACCTGGTTTCAGCGCTGAGGCTGAAACCAGTTCGGTTTTTACAAATAAAAATTAAAGGGGTCGTTTTTTGGGAATAAAATTGCAAAAGGGATTGTTTTGAAAATGTGTCCTTTCAGAAAATCTTAAATCTACATAATATTTCCTTTTCCTTGATTTTTATTATTTTTTTATATTCATTATTCTCTTCATTTTTTAAAACTGTAAAAGAACTCATTATTGGATGAATTTACTATATTCACAAATATTCCTTGTTCACTTTCCAAAACTTTGGTCTTGAAAGCATATATCTCTACCTTGCAGTAGGAGTATGTATGACCTCGGTCTTGAAAGCATATGTCTCTAACTAGCAGTAGGAGTATGTGTGACCTTACCTTGGCTAAATTATCGATTCGGCATGATTGAATTTTTCTTCATTATGTAAATGTAGATTATTAACAAATTGATAAAGTTATTTTGTCGCTAACTTTGAGAGTCAATATTTTTTGTTTAGTTATTTTTCTCTTTTACGATTAACATGATATTGTGTGCTTAAAATTTTAAGCAATTATCTAGACAATCAGTAGTTTGGAGTTTGAACAAGCTAGTAAGATATTAAATACCTTATTATTGATCATCGTGTGTCAGTTATAAACTTCTCAATGCTGCTAATATCTAATTAAACCATTTTTTTCTAGCTGATGCAAAGTCTCTAGTTTCTCAAGCGAGGAACCAAGCAGCTGAGTTTCGTTTCAAGTGGGGCTATGAAATGCCTGTTGATGTATTAGCCAAATGGTAAAATGACTTCTCTTGGCTATTAATTTTATCCATGTGCAAAAATCTCCTTCCGCGTTACCATACACTTCTTATACTATTTGGATTCGATGAACTCATTGCATTGTTACTATTTTGTTATTTCAACATGTTTAGTGAAATCTTGGTTCTGGCATTTTCTTCAGAAATCCGTCTTCTTTTAAACACAATGTTACAGATGTCATATTCTTCAAATCTTTGTACAGGATAGCAGATAAATCACAAATATACACCCAGCATGCTTACATGAGACCACTTGGAGTAGGTCAGTTGCCTGATCTTTTTCTTTCGGAGCTCTGCTAACGCACACTTTTCGTTTATATAGACTTCATATAGCTTCTGATTATACTTGATTCTGCCTATTTTGTCTCTTCCTACTTTCCATTTGAAGCTGCGATGATATTGGGTATTGATGAAGAAAACGGACCTCAACTTTTCAAATGCGATCCAGCTGGTCATTTTTTTGGTCACAAGGTAATCCAAACTTGTGTACTATTGTATTTAAGATCTTTAATGAGATCAAATACTTGAATCTTTGTAGAGTGAGAGTACATGCTTATGCTTAAAGTTGCTCTCAACAAGAGAAGATAAGTACAAGCACAAATCTTGTGGATGTTTTGTTCAGATGTCAATTTTTAAATATAATTTGTTTTTTATTTAACAAGAGTTCTCTGTCCCACAAAGCTTGTTTGTGCTTATGCCATGGTCATACATAATCTTATATATTTTATAAGAAATGCTAACTCTTTCTGCTTACCCATGATGCTTAACATTGCTGGCAGTATTCCACATTTAACAAGGGGGAGAGAGAGGGTATTTTTAATATTAATTCTATGTATGAGGGTATTTTTAATATTATTTCTATGTATGATGTTTGCAATTTTTAAGATGTCTTTACACTTTACAGTAAGTACTATTTGGGATTATTTAGGGTGCTTAGAACAATTTGGTCATGATGCTTCATCTGATTTCAAATGCTTCTTTCAATGAAAATTGTTCTTAACTGCTCTATTTATTGGAGTTTAGGGGGTTTGATTGTGTTGGCCAATCATATTAAATGTTACCATCTTTCAATAGAATGAAGTAGCAAATAGTGTTTTATATCTGGATTCACAGGTCTATTGATATAAAAATATTTTACTTTCTGAGGGAATTCCATAAGTGTTTAGTTCATGAAATTTTTTCTGTTTCAATGTCTTGTATTGGGTGCATTGTGTTTTCTTGTCTGCTGCCTAGTTACATCAGTTACACTGTCACACATTGTCAGTCATTTATCTTACATTACTGATAATTATTAGCTTACATTACTGATAATTATTAGATTTTTTTTTTATACATAGAAGTCACAGTCTGAATGTGTGCTATTCTGCTTTCAGGCTACAAGTGCTGGCCTTAAAGAGCAAGAAGCAATCAATTTTTTGGAGAAAAAGATGAAGAATGATCCTGCATTTTCATATGATGAGACTGTGCAGGTATTGTAATATGCCTGTTTGCATGCTGGCATTTGGTGACTATATTTACACGGAACCAGTTTTTCCCCCCTCTTTCTAAACTATTTTATTAAATATGCCGATTTGCATGCCAGCAGTTAATTTCTTTTATTGTATCCAATTGTGCTCATTACTTTACCACCCGATTCTTGGCTTGAAGCTTGTAAGCAAAGGAACAGATAGGTCCAAATTTTTTGGTTTTGTAGCTTCACCTTCCTTTAATTTGCATAAACTTGATCCCAACCTCTTCAGTCTTTTAGTGTAATGCTGGCAAGTTTGTGTTCCTACGTTCTTAAAGATATTGGGAGATTTGTTATTATCTTGTAATTCTTCTGAAAAGAATTTAAGCGTAATATGGAATTTATGTTTCATTTCATTCACTTCCTATATTCTTTCTATATTCCATGACCGATTTGTTAAAGACCATTGCAAAGAATTGATAAAAATCACTTTTTTGTCATGTGGTCTTTTTTCAATTATCTTTTCAAAAGAAAAAATGCTTTTATTTTAAATGGTATTTCATACTTTTTTTAAGGACATACTTGTGCATCTTTTGGCAGATTAATTATATTTGGGATTATTGTTTTATCATGTTTATTTCTATAATTGTTTTTGCAGACAGCTATATCTGCATTACAATCTGTTCTTCAGGAGGACTTCAAAGCCACTGAAATTGAGGTAATGGTCCTGGGAATAAGTTGGTAAATTTTAGAGGTTAATCTTTTAAATATTTATGTGAGGCAGGCCTCCTGTGAACCATTAGTTTGACTTTAATATTTAAGTTACATTAGCATAGTTTATATAAATGTATGTTTTGCAAGCGAAATACCAAACGACTAGTGATATGAAACGCTGTAGCCTATAAAAAATATATAATTTGTCTTCTTTTAGAGAAGTACTACCTGTGTAGGCGTTAATTTGGTTCCCGGGTAACTACAATTTCAGCCGTGGCTTGCAAAAAGTAGATGTAATTGTTGGATAATTTGATGATCTAGGCATGAAAATTGAACTAGAAATATAGATCTAAATTACCGTTCACCGGTCGAAAACAAATGGAAGTCTTCTCCCTTCTTCCTCCCGTAGCCAATTGAATGGATTATGTCTCTTTTCTTGCGTACGGTTGAGAGGAGGGACTCCCACCCTTTATTATGATATTTGTGATTAACCCTACCCCATCATGGTTTAAATCACAACCGTGGGGATTACACTCCGATTGATACCTACCTTTTAGATGTTCAAGAATAACCACCCACGTTGATAAAACTTTGAAACTGTGCAACCAGGACCATGTGGTTAGCATCCTGATCCCTAATCTTGAATCGATGGCAACTTTAAATCAAATCCAAAATAGATGTAGGTTGGGCCACTTGGGTTTGTTGGATTACATCTGAACCACAACAATCTCCCCACTTGCCACAACATACCTCATTTTAATTTTCAAAAATATTAAATTTTCAAAAACTTTACAAAAGAACTCCTGTTAAACTTAGGTCGACTCATTCGCTCCGTCGCACCCATTTTATTTTAGAAAACAACTTGTTGCCGAATGATATCTAATTAGGATAGTTTCCGAAACCTTTTCCTAAAACAAAGAAAGACACATTCGTTGATCGTAGAAAACACTATATTGCTCTAATATGCACCAAGGCACTCCACGGTGCCAACCGTTAGTACCACTAATGTTTAATAGACATACTCTTCTTATGGTTGTTTTAGTGGAGTTAATAGAGCCGTACAATCCCTTATGGGTCAAATCGATGTACGCCTAAGTGTCCTCTGCAACATACACAAACATGTATGCCCGCTTCTGCAAACTTCTTACCGGCATCCACCATTGTGAAAACCATCACCTTTAGTCCAGAACGAAAGCCTCAAATATGATTGCCCAATCATATTCAGCTTACTGCCACCAAATTTAAGAGTCTCTTTTACTTTTAACCTTTTGACTCTATGGACACTGTCTTTATTCGAGCTTTCTTACAATTAATACTTGAAACTCTTTACTTTAAACTTTAGTTTTCTTTACTTTAAAATATATATCAAGCAATAATTGGACCAAAGACACAATGCTTGAAAATATCAAACTGCTAAAAAATTTTAGCAAAATAGTTTCTTTATGAGCTCAAAGCAATCCAGAATATAGTACTTGAAACAAAACAAAACTACACGACAACTGAATCTCAGCTGATTCATTTATAGAATCGAAAGACTCTAAACAACCGCAACTGCGATACATGTTCCTTGGAAGAAGCCTGGAGAATTTCCTTGGATCCAAAGGATCAGCAAATCATCAACTGAGTCGGCAGATGAGGCAACCTCAATCAATCCTTGTTCGACCTTATCAAGTACTAACAAGTACTTGACAACCGCATGCTGCTTTATTCCTGCCTAGTAAAAATCTTGTTCTTTACAAACTGCCTACAACTGCCTGATTGTCATCAATAACACTTTACTGGTCTCTAAATGCGAATCCCACCACCTTTAGTCACTTATGAATATTCTTGAAGCCAAGAGGCATGCAATGCTTGCTTCAAAAACAGCAACATACTCTGCCTCCATGGTGGATGTCGTCACTAAGTGACTGCTTGGCCACTTATTCAGGAAACTGCTCCTCCAGCGAGCAGAAAATATATAACCTGGATGTTTGATTTTCTGCTATGCAGCACATCCTGCGAAATCTGAATCTGAATAACCAAGGACTTTCTAGATTTTCAGACCTTCTGTAGACAACATGAAATCCTTGGTCCTCTGCCAATACCGTAAACCTTCTTTACAGCTTCTTTCCAATGAGCTACAACCAGGATTTTTTGCTGAAACCTGCCTAATATTCCCACGATTATAACTGATGTCTGCGCCTGATTGCATGACACCGCATACATTAGACTGCCAACTGCAGCAAGCATACTCCTCAGATGTTTCACGAGCCTACGGCTCAACTTCATTCCGTGGCATTGAGATTTTGTTGAACATTATCTCCTTGACAACTGGGGCTTCACCTGGTGCACAAAACTTCATGCCATATCGTGTGAAGGACTTTCTCAATATTAAGCCCTTTGAGATAAGCCAACAAGCCTTTAGTTCGATCTCTATGCGTATCTTGATTCCCAAAACAGATATGGCATCTCCGAGGTCTTTCATATCAAAATGCCTCGATAAGAAAATTCTTTAGCTCTCATGTAGGAGCATGCAATAGTCGCTGCCTGGCAAACCAATATATCATCTACATATAATACTAGGAATGAGAATCGCGCTCCCAGCTGATTTTAAGGCTATATGCAGCGATCGACAGGATTCTCTCGGAAGCATTTGATGTTATCACTTGATGAAAATTTTAAGCTACCACTGTCTGGAACCTGCTTGAGGACCATGATATTGACTTCTTCAATCTGGCCAGTACCAGCAATCTCCCTTTAACTGCAAACCCTTCAGCGCCTGCCCATAAATATTTCGCTATTCAGATCTCCGATTCAAGGAATGCCGTCTTGACATCCATCTGATGGAGCTCAAGATCAAAATGCGGCCGACAGAGGCAAGACTATTTCCTGAGAGAATCTTCTTAGATTACTGGGAGAAAAGGTTCGACGTAAGTCAAATCCCTTCTCTCTGCCTTGAAAAACCCTTGGCCACTTAGCTGGCCTGAATCTCTCAATATTTCCTTCAGAAATCCCTTTTGGTCTTGAAGACCCATTGCATCCGATCGCTCTAGCTTTGTTCGGCCCAAAGGTACTTTACCAACTCCCAAACAGAGTTCTTTTCCATTGACTGAAGCTCTCTTCCATAGCCTTTAGCCAATCAGCTGCCATGAATGCTGTCTCTTTAGGCTTGTGAGATGATGAGGCGATCATCGGATTCTGGCATCAATGCTTTCCACTTTCTTGAAGATAACCTCATAGTTTCATCAGCGCTATGGCAGATCCCTGACTCTAGATGATCTTCTAACAAGCGTTGTGGCTCTCTGTAGTACAAATGTTTCTTGAACTGGAGGAGGAGTGGAAAGCTATCTGGAAGCAGCTAGGAAATCTAGAATGACATCTAAATAGCGTGAGCGACTGCTCACTCTTCCTAAAACTCCTCAAAACTGCAGACCCACGATGTTCTGAGAAACATCAGCGGTCTTCCAAAAACTCTAGCATGCTGTGTCTCGCAAGAACTGGTAGAGCCGAGAAGAAACAATAGAACCTGCATATCCCTTAGCATCTTGCTAGGATAGCCAACAAAGCGACACGACACTGTTTCGGGGTCTCTAATTCTAATTCTGGCATTCTATAAGGTTCGCCGCCCTCTTGCTGCGAGCTCCCCAAACACGTAGATGACCAAGACTAAGGACCCTGCCAGTCCAAAGCGTTTGAAACGGGGTCTCTGCTACCGCCTTACAAGGAAGCACGATTTGATGATATATACAGCCTGTCTCACCAAGCTATCAGAGTCTTTCAATGCCTTCACCCAAAAAACTTTCAGGCAAATCTTGAATGACTCATTCATGCCTTGCGAACAGATCTTTGATAAGTACGATTTCTTCTTTCAGCTACTCCATTTTTTGCTGCCGGAGAACCTGGAGAGTGTACTGATGACAATGCCTTGTGATCTACAAGCTAACTCAATGAGAAGGACATGCATTCTGCTGCCCGTCCTCGGATCGCTCTTAGCCCATAGAATTCCCGCACCTCGATCAGAACGCACAGATTTTAATCTTTCTTTCTAACTGTTTTTTCGCACTTCAGCTTGAAAAAGATCTTTGAAGAAACATCCATGTGCCTCATATTTTTGTGGTGCAGAGCAAAAATTATTTCAGGCACTAGCCGCGAAAAATCATTCTATGAAAGAAAGATAAAGTATCGCTGCACCACTCATAGCAGGTGGAGTGGGGAAAAGCGTCCACAATATCATTCTGCTTATGAATGATGGTCAAGGAGACCTTCTACTCCTGGAGGCTTTCTAAATTCTCAATTTAGTCATCTTTCCTTCTGATACAGTTCAACACCATGTACCTCAAAATCAGAGAAATCTAGCTCGTTCAAGAACGACCAACCGCCACCTTCTTTACTAATAGTCCGATTCTCATGCCCAATCGCTTTCTTGAAGTCACAGATAGTGATGCCACAGCCCAATCTCCAGCGGATAGTGGGGGCTTGGAATGCTCAGTGGGGAATGAATTGCTATTAAGCCTATGGTTGATTGAAGGACGCATTGCGTGTACCAGTATCAGAAGAAAGAAGATGGAATTGCACGGAATCAGTACAAGTAGAGGGAGCACCAACAGTGAGTATACCAGAGGATGCGATCCAGATTTATATCTATAAAATCGGACCCGTCAATCAATGAAAACCGACTTTCCATGACATCCAAACCATTCTGTGGATAGGAGACAGAAGTATTCCTCGAAAACAAGCTATAAACCAGATCCCAGAAGAGTCTAGAAACTGGACAATAAGATTTTCCTTCTTCATAGAACGGGTACGTAGAAAGTTGTCTGATTAAAGACTAAGGAAACTCCAGAATCCAAGCGCAGGACTGAACAGTCCGCAACGAGCTCCACCTTTCATATGGCTGTGAGTTATCCCAAAAATAGTGCTCATTTGCCCTTGACCTTTCCGACTGCTGGAATTCAATTCCTATGCTGATTGAGAGTTGAACACTGTGTCCCAACAGGACGAGACACCCTCTTGAGCAGCATCAACCTCACCCAAAGGATGAGTATATGAGAGGGATGTAGGGACATCAACCATTATTATACTTCCCATCCCCTACGACTGCATTATAACTCTCTAACTGTGTGTGCTATTTCGCTCAGATAAGACAGGAGAGTTTTCCGTCCTATCTACTCACATCTGCTGAGAATGGAATAAACTGGTGCCGTCCATCTGTATTAAAACCGAGATGATCGGCAGGCATATAAAGTGCAAGATGTGACCCCTGGTATTTTAATCAACCGATATAACTTTAGTTACATCCAGTACGAACATATCGATGCAATCTCTCTTCAT